CTGTGCCGGGCCTGGGAGGGAGCCGCTGGCATCAGGTAAAGGGGAGGGGGCCGGGCAGCCTCTGCCCTGCTCCCAAGCGATCCTCCGCTGCAGAACTTAGAATTTTGCGCGCTAGGCTTTGCACCACAAAGGCTCACGTTCTGGGAGCTCGGTCTCTAAGGACACAGTACTGAGAGGTGCGGAGACCCTCGGAGGGGAGGCCTGGTGGGGTCATTCGGCCATGGGGTCTAAGCAGCCTCAAACTCTTTCAAATAAATAATAAATAAATCTTAAAAAAGAAATTCTGTCTCATTGCCTCTCACACAATACATTTAAAGAAATACACTTTGGAAACGCGCTCCCCGCACACACGTGTTCGCTCCGCCTGGCCTGCGCGGGCGGCCCTTGGCTGGCTCCCGCGGGCTGGGAGGAGCCATCCACCAGGCATAGTCCTGGCCACCTGCTCACACTTGAACTCTTCTGCCCCAAGGCAGCCGCGAGCGCCAGGGGCAGTCTATCTTGTCAAGGGCCCACCCGCAGGGACTTCGGGACCAGCCCCGCGCCAGCCTCTGCCTGCCAGCTTCGCAGGGACTGCAAAGCGCGTGCATTGGCGACTGCCCTGAGCGGCCAGCACAGCAGTGACTGCAAGCGAGTGAGTGCGTGGCACGGAGGGCGCAGGGCTCGGGACATACCTTGATCACACACTCATCCAAACATAGCTTTGCCGCTAACTCTTGTATCTTCTCCCAGTCAGGACAGGGGGTCGTTTCGAAAACAGCTTTCAACATCCCCAACTGGTCGGGGGTAAAGGCCGTGCGGCTGCGGCGAGCACACCTGGGCGCTGCAGAGGGAACAGGAACAAAGGGCTTTGGTTTGCTTTCAGAAACAATCCATTGGCCATCCTGATGCCGGCTTTGCTCCAGCAGCCACTGCATGCATTTCGGGAGCGAGCCGGTAGACAGCAGCCCTCTCGGGGTCTCTCCTCTTTGCCTGGGTCTCCCAAAGGAATTTTGGAAAATGCACCCTGGAAGGCAGAGCCTGATCTCATGGTCATGCATTTTCGCCGTGAGCTTGAGCTTCACGAGGGGAAGATGTCCTGCTGCCACACACACACACACACACACACACATACATACAAACCCACACACACAGTAAGACACAGACACAGAAAGTCACACACACATACATACTCATACATACACACCCACACACCCACGACATACATACATACATACACACACATACATACATAAGAACCCACACACTAACACAAAGACAGACACATACAGACACACACAGAAAGATACACACATGTACATACACACATATGCAAACATATATACAAACCCACACACAAACAAGACACACACACACACATACATACACATACATACATTCATACACACCCACACCCACACCCTGTGAAGGCAAGTGCCAAGCTCGCAGTTTTCTCCCAGCTCATGGGAAAGACAGAGAGAGAGTCAGAGAGAGAGAAAAACTGCATAGGGCTTTGGAGGAAGCCCTCAGCCATGGAGGGGATGGAAAGAGATGGAGAAAGAGCCGCAGGCAGAGGAGAAGGAGGCCAGAAGCACATGTGCGTGGTTAGAGTGCAGCCACTGGGGCCGGCCCCTGGGAGGCCTTGCAATGCTGGGTTCCTATCCCAGAGTCCCAGTTGGAGTCCCGGCTGCTCCACTTCCCACCCAGCTCCCTGCAAGTGCACCTGGGAAAGCAGTAGAAGATGGCCCAAGTACTCAGGCCCCCACACCCACATGGGAGACCCAGATGGAGCTCCCGGCTCCTGGATTTGGATTGCACCAGCCCTTGGCCATTGCAGTTACCCAAGCAAATACACATACAAAGGAAATGTTGTTTCATTTTCAGAAGGCGCCTGGCATTGTGGCAGAGTGGGTAAAACCCACCACTGGCAACACTGGCGTCCCATATGGACACTGGGACAAGGCCCAGCTGCTCCGCTGCCTATGCAGCTCCCTGCTCATGTGCCTAGGGAAGCAGCAGACAACAGCCAAAAGATAGCACCCCTGCACCCATGTGGGAGAGCTTATTTTTATTATAAAACTTGCATTCAAGGATATACTTTCTTTTTTAAAAAAAGAAAAAAAAAGGTCTATTCATTTATTTGATGGTCAGAGTTACACAGAGAAAGAAGGAGAGACAGAGAGAGAGAGACAGAGAGAGAGAGAGAGTGTTCCATCCACTGGTTCACTCCCCAACTGGCCACAATGACATGAGCTGTGCCAATCCAAAGGCAGGAGCCAGGAGCTTCTTCCCGGTCTCCCATGTGGGTGCAGGGGCCCATCTTTTCCTGCTTTCCCAGGCCATGCCAGAGAGCGGGATCAGAAGAGGAGCAGCCTGGACTTGAACCGGAGCCCATATGGGATGCCTGCACTTCCAGCCAGGGCTTTAACCCACTGCACCACAGCGCCGGCCCCATCAACGAACACTTTAAACAAAACTTTTTAAAAGAGAAAGATTGTATCTGTGTCTCCAGACAAGAAATGCACTCTACACTAGGTTGTTCCAATGCAAAGGAAAACATGAGAAAATACAGAGAGACTAAGAAATGCATGGAAAAAATGAGTCAAAAAATGGGTTCATTCTGGTGCAAAAAACAATTTTTTGAAAGCCATGCATAACTTTTTCTTTTCTTTTTATATTTAGACGGGCAGAGTTGGACAGTGAGAGAGAAACAGAGAGAAAGGTCTTCCTTCCGTTGGTTCACCCCCGCTCCCCTAATGACCAATACAGCCGGCCTTCGCGCTGTGCCGATCTGAAGCCAGGAGCCAGGTGCTTCCTCCTGGTCTCCCATGCGGGTGCAGGGCCCAAGCACCTGGGCCATCTTCCACTGCCTTCCTGGGCCACAGCAGAGAGCTGGACTGGAAGAGGAGCAACCAGGACTAGGACCCAGCACCTATATGGGATGCCAGCGCCACAGGCAGAAGATTCACTGAGTGAGCCACGGCCACTGTCCCCATCACTTTTGCTTCACCCCTAGTTTCCCACACACTTTGTGAAGACCTCTTATCTGCTTAGGTTTCCAAACAGTTGTTCCCCAATCAAATGGTTTAAAATCAATTTCCACCCTGTGTCACATAAACATTTAAAAGATCTGAACAGTGAAACTGCTAAGCAAATTGAAAACACAGTTTTCAAGACTGGAAGGTTTTCTGTGCAACCAACATCAGAGTTTCTGGGAGACAACAAAGATACTCTACAAAACAACCAAAAACGAAACGCACAGTTCTTTAAAATGAGAAAGGTCGGAAACAGGCAATGAGCATTCAAGAGGAAGCAGAATGGTGTCTAAAACAGTGATGCAGCCCTGTCCCCTCGATGGCTTGGGAAGTGCGTCACAGACCAGAGATTATGGGAGACCCAACTGGCTGCCGTGTTAACTGTATGCCAGTCACGGGCATCCAAAAGGATGGGAGAGACGACGGACACTCACTCACTGCTGGCGGGAGCCCAGTAGCAAACTGTGCTCCTGTTTGCTCCATTGCTATAAGCCAGCGATCCCGCCATCGGCCAACCTGGTGCCGGCATGGCTTGGCCTACCACCAAGCAAGCCCTGCACAGCCAACCTCTCGCCCACCCGCCTCGGCCACTTGCTCACTCGACATCACGACTCGGACCGGCAGTATTTCCGAAGCTGCTTCTTCTCCAGCATCTGTGCTTGTCTGCTCCTTGCCACCCAGACGGCTCCTTTATAGAAGGGAGCCAACTTGTGAAGGTATTAAGTCTTTGATGGACCCTCTTGACAGATTAGCACTTGAAGAGCTTATCAGATACATGGGATTAACAGATGCCAATTTACCTCGGAATCAGCCCTTAAGATGTTCGGATCCGGCTGAAGAGCCCATGAGAGTATTTTAGGCATGGAAAGCCAAGACACTCTGGAAAAAAAAAAAAAAACCTAAATGAAAGATCTCTGCGAGTGAGAGAGATCCCAGTGGAAAGAACATGCCATCAAAGGAGGAGGTACCCTTCTCTGAAGGGAATTTCCACTTTGACTATGACCTCGTCTAAATAAGATGGGAGTTGGCAAACTCAAAAGGCTTCCCTAACCTAGGCAACTCAATAGCCTAGGGTGATTACTGACCCCAGAAACAAGAGTGTCAATTTCTTAGTCACTGTGCACTTCCTCCTCATGTAGGATCTCTGCCCTTCACGTGTTGTAAAATGTGAATTCTTCCTATAACTAGTACTCAAACAGTACTTGACGCTTTGTGTTTCTGTGTGGGTGCAAACAGTTGAAATCTTTACTTACTATAGACTATATTGATCTTCTGTATATAAAGATAATTGAAAATGAATCTTGATGTGAATGGAATGGGAGAGGGAGCGGGAGATGGGAGGATTGGATTGCGGGAAGGAGGCAAGTTATGGGGGGAAAAGCCACGGTAATCTACAAGCTGTACTTTGGAAATTTAGATTTGTTAAATAAAAGTTAAAAAAAGAAAGAAAGAAAGATCAGTGCCCATATGGGCTGTTGGAGATGCAGGCTGGGGCTTTAACCCGCTGTGCGAAAGAGCCGTCCCCAATAAATAAAATCTTTAAAAACGAAAATACAATCAACTTTCTAAAAAAAAAAATCCGAAGAAAGCGAGGAGGTGGTATGTTAATTAGCGTGACTGTGGTGGTAACAAGAAAATCAATCCTTTTAAAAAACACTTTTTATTACAGATATGTTGATTGATTTGAAAGGCAGAGTTCCAGAGAGGGAGAGAGAGGTCTTGCACTCGCTGTTTCACTCCCCAAATGGCCACAACAGCCAGAGCTGAGCTGTTCCGAAGCCTGGATCCGGAGCTTCTTCTGGGTCTGGGTCTGGGTCTCCCACACACACAGGCCCAGGGGCCCAAGGACTTGGGCAAATCCTCTACTGCTTCCCAGCCATAGCAGAAAGCTGGATCGGAAGACCGGGGCCCCTACGGGATGCAGGCACTGCAGGCCTCTCTCTCTCTCTCTCTCTCTCTCTCTCTCTCTATCACTATGTATCTCTCTCTCTCTATCTCTATCTCTCTGTATCTCTCTCTACCTCTATCTCATCACTAACTCTACCGCTCTGAACTCTGCCTTCAAACAAAGAAAAAAGAAAAAAATATCCCTGCCCTGCTGGAGCCCGAAGGAATCCCTCCCTCGCTCCTGATTGGACAGTAAGAGCAAGGGGGCGGGCCTGAGGCGCCTAGCGACCTGCGGGAAGCAGAGGCGAGAACTCTGGGAGAACTTGACCACTGGAAAGCGGGTCCGGGCGCCCGAGTCTCAGGCCCGTCCCCTCGTGCGTGGCCCGGGGAGGCCCGCTGCCCACCCACCGCCCGAGAGCACGCGGAGGACGGCAGCCCACGAACGTGGCCACCACGCCCTTGCGGCCCTGGATTTCGCGTTGTCTACGATGGCGCCCCCTGGCGCTCCACGGTGGCGGCGACCCCGGACTCTGGTGGCGGCTGGGGGCCAAGGCCGCGGCGAGGTCGCCAGGCCCGCCTGACTGCCCTCAGGAACCCCATAAATCGTCTTCTTGTGGCACTTCACAAGTATCTAAGTTCACCATTACAAAACGTCCACACACTACAGAAAACCAGCCTCCAGGCTGTGATGCCTCGGACCAGCCCAGAGAGCCCCCCAAACTCCCAGCACATTTGCTTTTGTAAAGAACAAGGCAGAGGAGTGGTCCCTCCAGGGCTGTCTCCAGGTCGCCGGCAGGGGCTCCTACAGACTGCTTCGTCCTTTTTCTTTTTTCTAGGACTGGAAAAAATTCGGCCCTTGAAGTCTGGGGCTTCAGATATCTGCTAGTCGTCTGGCTCGTCGTCATGGAACAAGCGGTACATGCGCACGAGCTCCCCGATGTCATGAGGCAGCGAAGCCCAGGGCGCAGAGGAGTCCAGATGGATGTTGTGCAGATCGGCGGGCAGCGGGTCCTCGGCAGCCTCGGGGCCCTGCGCCTGGGAGCCCCCGGGGCCCTGCTCTTCCTCCGCAGGCGCGCTGAGCTCCGAGCATGTTGGCGGCGGCGGCGGCGGTGGCGGCGCAGTGGCAGCAGCAGCGGTGGTGGCAGCGGAGGCGGAGGAGGAGGCTGAGGTGTGGACTCGCTGGGCTGGCGGGGCTGGCCCTTTCGCTGCAGTTTTCTTTGCTGGGCGCGCTGATTTTTAAACCAGGTCTGGGGAGGAAGGGAGGGAGCAGGTTACTCCAGGGGCAAGGACCCCAGGGAGACCCCATGGGCCTCAGAAGCTCGGGGCCCTTGTGGCTTGGGCACGCTGGGCTCAAGCCTCTTTCTCAAACGCTGTGCCGGGCCCGGGAGGGAGCCGCTGGCATCAGGTAAAGGGGAGGGGGCCGGGCAGCCTCTGCCCTGCTCCCAAGCGATCCTCCACAGCAGAACCTAGAACTTTGCGCGCTAGGCTTTGCATCACAAAGGCTCACGTTCTGGGAGCTCGGTCTCTAAGGACACAGTACTGAGAGGTGCGGAGACCCTCGGAGGGGAGGCCTGGTGGGGTCATTCGGCCATGGGGTCGCGCGCAGCCGCCGTGGGCCCTGGGGGCAGTGAACCGGCCGATGGAAGACACCTCTCTCTGCCTATACATCTTAAAAAAAAAGTCGGTCTCATTGCGTCTCATCCAATACATTGAAAGAAATACAATTTGGAAAGAAATACAATTTGGAAACGCGCTCCCTGCACACACGTGTTGGCTCAGCCTGCGCGGGCGGCTCTCGGCTGGCTCCCCGCGCTGGGGCTGGGCGGCGCCATCCACCAGGCGCGGTCCTGGCCGCCACCGCCGGCCGGCCACCGCAATGCAGCCGCGAGCGCCCCGCCCGCCCGGGGGAGTCTTTCTTGTCCAGTGCCCACGCGCAGGAAGTTCGGGACAAGTCCCGGGGCAGCCTCTGCCTGCCAGCCTCGCGGGGACTGCGAAGCGCAGCGCGCGCATTGGCCATTGCCCTGAGCAGCCAGCGCAGCGGTGACCACAGCAAGTGAGTGCGCGGCGCGGAGGGCGCGGGGCTCAGGACATACCTGGATCACATACGCATCCAGATGAAGCTCGGGCGCTAACTCTTGGACTCGGCTCCAATCTGGGCAGCGGCTGGTTTCTAAAACAGCTTGCAGCATCCCCAGCTGGTCGGGGGTAAAGGCCGTGCGGCTGCAGCGAGAGGACCTGGGCACTGCAGAGGGAACAGCAACACAGGCCTTTGGTTTGCTTGAAGCAAGAATCCATTGGAGTTCCTGATGCAGACATTTGGGGCGTGACCTGGTGCCCGGTTGCTCGGGGGGACACCAGCGCTCTCTCTCGGGGTCTCTTCCTCTTTGCCAAGGTCTCGCAAAGGAATTTTGGAAAATGCACCCTGGAAGGCAGAGCCTGATCTCATGGTCATGCATTTTCGACGTGAGCTTGAACTTCACGAGGGGAAGATGTCCTGCTGACACACACACACACACACACACAGAAACACACACATACATACACAAAAACACACACACATCCACCCACACACACACGCATACATACCTAAATGCACATACATGCATACATACACACCCACACACTCACACCCACACCCACACCCACACCCACACCCTGTGAAGGCATGTGCCAAGCTCCCAGTTTTCTCCCAGCTCATGGGAAAGACAGAGAGAGAGACAGAGAGAGAGAAAAACTGCATAGGGCTTTGGAGGAAGCCCTCAGCCATGGAGGGGTTGGAAAGAGATGGAGAAAGAGCCGCAGGCAGAGGAGAAGGAGGCCAGAAGCACATGTGCATGGTTAGAGTGCAGCCACTGGGGCCGGCCCCTGGGAGGCCTTGCAATGCTGGGTTCCTATCCCAGAGTCCCAGTTGGAGTCCCGGCTGCTCCACTTCCCACCCAGCTCCCTGCAAGTGCACCTGGGAAAGCAGTAGAAGATGGCCCAAGTACTCAGGCCCCCAAACCCACATGGGAGACCCAGATGGAGCTCCCGGCTCCTGGCTTTGGATTGCACCAGCCCTTGGCCATTGCAGCTACCCATGCAAATACACATGCAAAGGAAATGTTTTTTCATTTTCAGAAGGCGCCTGGCATTGTGGCAGAGTGGGTAAAACCCACCACTGGCAACACTGGTGTCCCATATGCACACTGGGGCAAGGCCCAGCTGCTCCACTGCCTATGCAGCTCCCTGCTCATGTGCCTAGGGAAGCAGCAGAGGACGGCGCAAGTGATGGGACCCCTGCACCCATGTGGGAGAGCTCATTTTTATTATAAAACTCACATTCGAGGATAGACTTTCTTTCTTTCTTTGTTCTTTTTTGAAAAAAAAAAAAAAGATCGATTCATTTCTTTGAAGTTCAGAGTTACTCCCCAACTGGCCACAATGGCTCGAGCTGTGCCAATGCAAAGGCAGGAGCCAGGAGCTTCTTCCGGGTCTGCCATGCAGGTGCAGCCATGCAGGTGCAGGGGCCCAAGGACTTGGGCTGGGTTCTAGAGGGCTGGATCAGAAAAGGAGCAGCCGGGACTCGAAGCGGCGCCCGTATGGGATGCCTGCCCTTCAGGCCGGGGCTTTAAGCCACTGCACCACAGCGCCGGCCCCATCAACTCACTCTTTCAACACACGGTTTTCAAAGAGAAAGATTGTGTCTGTGTCTCCAAACAAGAAATGCACTCTACACTAGGGTTTTCCAAGGCAAAGGAAAATAGGAGAAAATACAGAGAGACTAAGAAATGCATGGAAATAGGAGTCAAAAACTGAGCTCATTCTGGGGCAAAAAGAATGTTTTGGAACGCCATGCATAACTTTTTCTTCCTACCTATTTTCCCAGGAACTTTCTGAAGACCTCTCATCTGCATAGGTGGATTGCAAACAGTTTTTGCCCAAGTCAATGTTTTAAAATCCATTTCCATGAACTTTTCTAGTACCCTTGTGTCACATGGACATTTAAAATATCTGAACAGTGCAACTCGGAAGCAAGTGGAAAACACAAGCCAAAGACTGCAAGGTTTTCTGTGCCAGCAACACCAGAGTTTCCGGGAGACCCCACTGGCTGCCGTGCGAACTGTATGACAGTCACGGGCATCCCAAAGGATGGGAGAGACGACGGACACTCGCTCACTGCTGGCGGGAGCCCTGCAGCAAACTGTGCTCCTGTTTGCTCCATTGCCAGAAGCCAGCGATCCCGCCAACGGCCAAGCCGGTGCCGACACGGCTTGGCCTACCACCAAGCAAGCCCTGCACAGCCAACCTCTCGCCCACCCGCCTCGGCCACTTGCTCACTCGACATCAGGACGCGGACCGGCAGTATTTCCGAAGCTGCTGCTTCTCCAGCGTCTGCGCTTGTCTGCCCCTTGCCGCCCGCCTGCCCGCCGGCCCGCCCGCCCGCCTGGCTAAAGGATGGCTCCTTTAGAGAAGGAAGCCAACTTGGCATGGTATGAAGTCTTTGATGGACCCTCCCTAAGTCACACCCTAGACCTGATCGACAGATGTGCCGCTTGAAGAGGTGAACCCCAGCCCCTGGCTCCCGGCTCCCCATTGGCACAGCTCTGACCCTTGTGGCCATTTGGGGCGTGAAGCAACGGAAGGCAGACCTTTCTCCCTGTCTCTTCTTCTCACTGTCTGCAGCTCTACCTCTCCAAGAATTCAATAACAACATCCTCAAACAACGATTTATGTTATTTGATTTTACTTTATTTTATTGGAAAGACCAGTGCCCATATGGGCTGTTGCGATGCAGGCTGGAGGTTGAACCCGCTGTGCTACAGCGCCGGCCCCAATCAATCCAATCTTTAAAAATGAAAAGACAATCATCATTCTGCAAAAACATCCTAAGAAAGCGAGGAGGTGGTATGTTAATTAGCGTGACTGTGGTGGTAACAAGAAAATCAATCTTTTCAAAAAACACTTTTTGGTACAGATGTGTTGATGGATTGGAAAGGCAGAGTTCCAGCCGCGGCCCGGCTTGCGCGTTGTCTACGATGGCGCCCCCTGGCGCTCCACGGTGGTGGCGACCCCGGACTCTCTGGTGGCGGCTGGGGGCCAAGGCCGCGGCCAGGTCACCAGGCCCACCTGACTGCCCTCAGGAACCCCATAAATCCTCTTCTTTAAGCACTTCAAAAACATCTAAGTTCACCGTTACAAAATGTCCACACACTACAGAAAACCAGCCTCCAGGCTGTGATGCCTCCGACCAGCCCAGAGATCTCCCCCAAATCCCAACACGTTTAGTTTTGCAAAGAACGAGGCAGAGGAGTGGTCCCTTCAGGGCTGTCTCCAGGTCGCCGGCAGGGGCTCCTACATGCTTCATTCTTTTTTTCTTCTTTCTTTTTTCTAGGACTGGGAAAATTTGGCCCTTGAAGTCTGGGGGTTCAGATATCTGCTAGTCGTCGGGCTCGTCGTCATCGAACAAGCCGTACATGCGCACCAGCTCCCCGATGTCATGGGGCAACGAAGCCCAGGGCGCTGAGGAGTCCAGATGGATATTTTGCAGATCGGCGGGCAGCGGGTCTTCGGCAGCCTCGGGGCCATGCGCTTGGGAGCTCTCAGGGCCATGATCTTCCTGCGAAGGTGCGCTGATCTGTGAACCTGGTGGTGGTGGGGACTCGCCGGGCTGGCAGGGCTGGCCCTTTCACTGCAGTTTTCTTTGCTTGGCGCGCTGATTTTTAAACCAGGTCTGGGGAGGAAGGGAGGGAACAGGTTACTCCAGGGGCAAGGACCCCAGGGAGACCCCATGGGCCTCAGAAGCTCGGGGCCCTTGTGGCGTGGGCACGCTGGGCTCAAGCCTCTTTCTCAAACGCTGTGCCGGGCCTGGAAGGGAGCCGCTGGCATCAGGTAAAGGGGAGGAGGCCGGGCAGCCTCTGCCCTGCTCCCAAGCGATCCTCCGCTGCAGACCTAGAACTTTGCGCGCTAGGCTTTGCACCACAAAGGCTCACGTTCTGGGAGCTCGGTCTCTAAGGACACAGTACTGAGAGGTGCGGAGACCCTCGGAGGGGAGGCCTGGTGGGGTCATTCGGTCATGGGGTCTAAGCAGCCTCAAACTCTTTCAAATAAATAATAAATACATCTTAAAAAAGAAATTCTGTCTCATTGCGTCTCATCCAATACATTTAAAGAAATACACTTTGGAAACGCGCTCCCCGCACACACGTGTTCGCTCCGCCTGGCCTGCGTGGGCGGCCCTTGGCTGGCTCCCGCGGGCTGGGAGGAGCCA